CCAGACTGACAGCTGGAGAAACAACATAGGACTAAACCAGGCCCCCTGAATGTGGGTGTCAGCCAGGAGGACTGGAAGTCTATGCTACCTCTAACAGTGGAACGTGGATGTATCGCTAGTGCACAAATTTCAGGAGCGTATTCCCCATGGATGGACACTCCCTTAGCCTAGAGACAGGAGGGAGGGCCTAGGCCCTACCCCAAATGATTTGACACATTTTGATGATCTCTCTTGTAAGTCCTCAACCTCACTGGGGAGTGGATGGGGACTGGAATGGGGGGGCAGGCATGGGAGGACAGGAGGGAGAGGGAACTGGGATTGATATGTAAAATAAGAAAAAAATTAAATAATAATAAAAATTTGCCTTTAATTTGCCTTTAAACACTTTTGACTCAAAATTGAGTATGTCACTGTCTTAGTATCTAGATTCATGTCAGTTTAACAATGAAGACAATTTTCTGTATTGAAGATGCAATGTTGAGTCAAGATAAAGGACTATTTAGTCAGTTGCCCAAGGGTTCCTTTCATTGAGGCTCTTTGCCAGAATGCACCATGTTTTATAGCTAATTTTATTATACTTCTTTTTAATTTCTGGCTGTTGTTTAAATGCACTTTTTTTTTCTTGACACTTTTATACATTTTGAGAATTTTAAAGTGAAAAATGCTATGTCAGACAAAACAGGTATGACATTCATACTGGGATTTAAGATCTGAAGATTATCAAGTATCTACTTTGTTGATTTATGTATATTAATAGGAACATTTGTATGTAGTGCTGTGTCGTTAAACCAGGGCCTTGTGTATGCTGACACATTGTGTCTGTGAGCTCTGTCCCTAGGTAACTGTGCTTTTACTGCATGTTATGGCTTGAATATGGTTTATGCATCCAAATTCATGCAGACAGATTGTGCCTACTGTGAGGTAATAAGCGCTATACTGTTGGTGTTTGGTGGTGAGAATAAGTTTCAATAGAATCATCTGTCATCTGTTACCCAGTATTGAATCCTGGTGGCTTAATGAGGAGAGGAAGACAGCTTTACAGTCCAAGGTAGTTCTCAGTTGATGAGGTCTGCCCCTAGCTTCTGAGGGTAGGGCCTTTCTCTGTGAACTTCCCTGATTGATCTGAGCCTTGTACAACCTGCATCATTTGGTGTGTCGGTATCCAGCCTTCTTGCTCTCTACACTTGCCTTTCTGGACATCACCTCAGTTGTGGCCAGGTTAAATTGAGGCCCCTTGACCTGAAATATTTCCTTATGTGAGGTCCCTGGAGTAGTCCAGTTTTTAAACAATGGAATCTCTATTGCTGCTCTTTCAGCCATCCAGAGTGACAGAATGGGATTGATTTATTTCTACCACAGTCTGGTCTATTAGAGGGCTGTTTTACCAGAACTCTCAGCTGGATTTAAGGCTTGGGAAGGGCATAGGTTTGTTCCCAGGGGAGGACAGTCTGGCTCGAACCTGCCTCACTTCCCTTCCCCTGGGAACAGAGCAGCTAGTTGAACCTGTGTTTAGCTTCCTTCTTGGTGTAGCCTGCCCTTTCCCTGTATCTTTTACTTCTTTTGTGTTCCTGAAGCTCTATAGCTCTTTGGGATATAGTCTATTTTTTTTTTTTTTTTCCTCTTTCTGTCTTTCATTGGCTCACACAAGGGCAGCCTTTAGTCATCTTTCTTATGCAAATGTGGTGACCTCTACATATAGATGTTTGTGTTTTTTGAATGATTTGGAAATTCCAAGGCAGATAATCATGTTTCTTCCCTTTTATATGACTGATTTTGATAGTTGGGTATTTCTTCCCTCCTCTTGACTTACAATTATGATTTGATTATAAGTTAGGTTGTATATAAGGTGCTTATTGCTCCCCTCTTTCCATCAAACTTTCCGCACAACTTTTATAGTGTTTATAATCGTGATGATGTGACACCTATTTATTACTCCTGTTGCTATGGACAAGTGAATGGTGACTCTGTACAGGCTCAATAATTGTTTTAGATGAATTCATGCCTGATCAAATTGTAACAAGTTGTTACAGAGGAAGAGTTGATAGTGTGAATGCTTATGTGGCTGAGGTCAGCATCACCAAGAAGCCTTCACTTACAGGTGCTGTATACCAGCTGTAAATACAATTTCACATGAGTCTGAAAGTGTATTTAAAATTATCCTCAGTTAAAGTACTTCAGCAATGAACCAGGTGTGCTTACTTCTTAAGCAATAATTTTCTCAGGAGCAAAGCTTTGAACTTCCATCACTTTCATACACTACTAGTGGAATGAGGTAGCTGAAAAACAATTTTCCTTTTTATGTGGGGTTATTTTAGAGCTGTATTGTTCAAAGGATGTATTTTGAGAGGAAGCTGGTACTAGGAACTCATTAATTTTGTAGTTTTCAGCATTTAAAATATGAACAAAAAATCTAGAGATGTTTTTGGAATGATTCACTGGCAATACATATAGAAAAGACGATGAATGATGAATTTTGCCTGTCAATGCCATAGAACTTTCAAGTTTTGAATTGGTATGTATGGGAATAGATGAAGTCTTCAGTGAGTGTGCTGTTGATATGAGTGTGGCCCTGATGAAGACCCCAGTGCCTCAATTTCCTGGTTGCTGCAGTTGGTGTTTTTAGCATAGTGTATTGCCCTTCCAAATAGGTATCTGTCATTTTTTCATTCTCTGTGCCCCCAGTTAGGTAAATCCCCCAGCCATGGTAAGTGGCACCAGAGTTTTGTTTTGTTTTGTTTTTCAGGTTAGGGTTTCTCTGTATAGCCTTGGATGTCCTGGAACTCACTATGTAGACTACTGATCTTGAACTCACAGAGATCTACCTGCCTCTTCTGGAGAAAGGGAGTCCTCCATTTGGCTCCAAGCTCAGAGAGCTGTCTGGACATGGTGGACTGCAACCTTAAGCAGCAGAGTCCTCAGATAGTGTGTGTGTGTGTGTGTGTGTGTGTGTGTGTGTGTAGCATTTTTAACATAAAATTGAATCTTAAAAAATAATATAAAATGCCAAATATTATTCTCCTGTTATTTAATAAGTGGATGAAGATAGTGGGCCATTGGTGTGCTAGTGATAAAAATGTCTGTTGAAAAGTGTATTACATATACTGTGGATGTGTATAAGGCAGTTAGTAAATGTTTTTGGATTATAGGTGAGATATATATATCACAGAAGAGAAATTAATTTTACTTCTCACATTAATGTTGGGTCTGAATGAATGAAACATGTAAAATTGGCTTCCGATTTCATTGATGGAGTAGTTGAAGCTGCTTATAGAAACATTCAGCACTCTGGGCCAGACAACTTTCTTGGCTATCAGAAAAGTGTCACATATAATTTTATTTGATATTATAGTTGGTGGATGATTTGGAATGAAAACATGTTTTTTAAATTGCTTATTTTTTAAAATTAGTCTGCAGTTACATTTATTTCAGTTTGCTATAACAGATTACAGGTTGTGGTGAATGTTGGGATTATGCAATATATATTGAAAGCTGCATAAACCTTGCTGGTCTTCCTTTTTCACCGTGCACAGATACATATATAGCCCTGTCAGTTACAATTATGTCACAGGAACCAGTCCATGAAAGGTAGTTTTCCCAAGATTCTTAGAGGGAGTTCATTGTTAAGATATCCATATATCAGTTGACGTGGAAATCAAGTGATGGAAAACTATTTATTTGTAACTAACAGTTTGTTTTTGTTCTGGAGCAGGGTTGTACTATGTAACCCTGTGTAGACTGGAACTCACCATGTCTACATGGTGGCCTTGAACTCACAGTAATCCTCCTGCCTCTGATTCCCAAGTGCTCTGATTAGAGATATGCATTACCATGCCCAGCTAATGATTTTTGTTTTGTTTTAATGAAATATAACAGACTCAAAGGTCTGTTTTGTGGTTTTCATCTGCTTCTTCCTTTGGTGCTTGTGATGTGTAAATGTGCATGTATGTGAGGAATACTGGGTTAGAAACAGTTTCTTCATGTTGTGTGTGAGGGGTGCTGGGTTAGAAAGTTTCCTCATGTTGTGTGTGAGGGATACTGGGTTGGAAACAGTATTTCCTCATGTTGTGTGTAAGAGATACTGGGTTAGAAAGCAGTGAGGATTAGGTGTTCAGTGAGTGGGCAGGATGTTTATAACTTCACCAGGAAGGTGTGTTCCATGAATTCTGTTCCCATTTCCACTTGACCTTGTTTTCCAGTTCCCAGGATGTCATGAAAACTGTAAATTATCATGTGCTCTGGAATGTTCCATAATTACAGCATGTCAGTATGAGGGGAAAGGGGCTACCAGCTAGAAAGGCAGTAGGGCGCAGAGTCAGTTTGAACCGGCCTGGCTTTGCTGGATTTGACATCTTGTTTTTCATAGAAAAACACCACCCAACATGATGTGAACCAGTTATCATTAGAGTGCATGAACTATCTCGGGGTGTGCTTGGATAAGGGTATAGGAAAGGGTATGATATCGGTGGATGGGGAACAAAAACATTGCCTGGTAGGGCGGGGTATACCACCATTACAGTGTTGCCCTTATGGGCAGAGAGAGCTGCTTTTGAGGGTACACTCTGGGAATCTGAAATACCTGCCAATGGCACTGACCACACCTGGACACATGATCACATCAGTAAGAGAGCCTGAGAAATAGCTAAAGCTGGGTAAACACATCTCACTGAACTGGGTAGGAAAGTGAGTTTGTGCTTCTCTACTGTTGGAGCAGCAGGAAGGATGTACTTTTAGAATGGTTGGTTTTCTAACTTTTTCAGTGGTGTCTTCAAGTAGACAAGCCAAAAAGACATAATCGGAGCTCATTCACTTCCCTTTGGGACCTTCCAAGTTTTCTTTTCTTTGGTGATGCTGAGGACCAAACTCAGGGCCTTGTGGATGCTAAGCACATGTTCCACGCACCCAGTGCGTCCACTTCCTCTTTTTTCCTGTGTTGATTTGATGGCTTTGTTTATCTGTTTTTTTTAAGGCTAATTTTCTACCTGTCATTTTTGTGCACCTAGGTATGGCGCAGTCGCAAGGCTGGCTGAGAAGATGCTTCAGGGCCTTCTGTAAGGGCTTCTTTGTGGCGGTGCCCGTGGCGGTCACTTTCTTGGATCGGGTTGCCTGCGTGGCACGAGTGGAGGGAGCATCCATGCAGGTGAAAACGAATTCAACTTTATTCTGTAAAGCCCGTGCTGCATTGTTTCTCACACACTGGAAATCAGAGCTCTCCTTAGTGTGTTTGTGCTGGGACCCGAGAGAGGTTTTAAAAAGGCGTAGAAACTAAAACTTCACCTGCCCAATTTTCTTTAAAAGGCTCCTAATACACCCCTCTTATAACAGCACTTGAGGTGAACAGAATTAACTACTGGGCCTGTGTACTTTGATTTTTCTGTGGATTAAAAGTGGAGACAAAGAAAATTTGCTAAATGGCATCATTTCTGTGACTATGGCTATGCTTAAACACCTGTTTAAGATTAAATTAGCCAGGCGTTGGTGGTACACATCTTTTGTTCCAGCAGAGTCAGGCAGATTTCTGTGAGTTCAAGGCCAGTATGGTCTAGAAAGAGAGTTCCAGGGCAGCCAGGGCTACACAGAGAAACTCTGTAGGATTTGTTTAGGTCAGAATCAGTGACTCGGTATAATTTTAGTTTGTCAGAAAGTCTGTGTGACTGATTCCAGGTGTTCTAGTATGCTCTTTAAGTGAGTAGTTGATTAAATCACATTTACATTTCAAAATTAATTATTATTGTTGTGTATGTAACTCTGTGTGTGTGTATGTGGTGTGTTCAGGTGTATAGTCCATATGTAGAGGTCAGAAGATAATTTTATGGAATATGAGTCTATTTGTATTCCAGGTATTGAATTCTTGGAGCCAGCATAGCTCAGCAAGCATTTTTATCTCCTGAGTCATCTTGTTAGCCCTTATTGATAAAAAATACTAAATGCAGTTTATAGTGGAACTGGATAGGGAGATTTCCCAGAATTTTGCACTAATAATTTTGTGGAATAACTCAGAAGGCTTTATTGAGTGTTTGTTTCAAGGTTACTTCGTGAGAAGTTTATGCAGCTGAGCAGCTTGCATTTTGTAACAGGATTTTTCTTGATTGTCATCAGCATGTATTAAGGTCACACATTGTGCCAAATTTCTCTGTAAAGTACATACATAAAGTGAATATATAGACTTTCAAGGGATTATAACTATGCAGAGAAATCCAGTTAGTTTTTTCCTTGTTTTATTTAGAGCCAGTTAAAGCACTGGCCTTAAGGACTAAGGGGTTAAAAATCAGATCCTTTGCCAAGTGTAAAAGTCAGTGAGATAAGTAAGGTCAGTAGACTGTCAGGTTGTGGCCTCTGTGGGAAGCTAATGTTCAAGCTACTAGGTTGTATTACATTTACCTCTGCTTCCATCATTTGAGGAGTTCTTAGCCCACTTCTTGGTCAGATGATCTTGACCTCAAACCATCCATTTCTGATTCCTTCCACAGAAGGTCACCAGCCCAGCATAAACTTGGTTATTAATTTGATGAAAGAAATATTTTAATGCATATGGCAGCATACAAAGAATATAATTTATAAGGTGCATGCCTTTGTTTATAAATACAGTTTAAAACATTTAAGAAGGCTTGGTCTTTACTTTTTACCTCTTCAGTTTTTAGTTCCTAGCAGCCTTGTCTTACAGGTGACACTCGGAGGGGAAGGTAGATTTTCTCTGTAGAGCTTTTGAGTCTGACTTATCATTTCCGATTAAAGCTGGCTTCTCCATGGCTGACCAAATCCTTTTTGGAGCCCTAGGGCCTTTTAGTAATAATCAGATTAATAATGATTTTCTCCAGTGTTCTTAGTGCTCTTTTGCTACACAATTGCACTATGTATAAAAGAAATTTTTTGGTTAATACAAGACCTCCTTACTTTCAATCTAATGATATTTCAGGGGATTATGTGGCAATCACAGTATCTTAATCTTCATACTTTTAGCTTAACACATTCCAACTGAGAGCATATAGTCATGGCTATGGCGGGGAGAGCCAAAGGCATTCATTAAAATATATGAAGCACGATTCTTTCTCACAAGACATTGATTGTTTTATGGAAGAACAAAGTTTATCCCTAGTGAGGAAGGCAAAGAAGAAAATGTTAAGTCGTCCTTCCCAGATGGCATTCAGCCGACTGTTATTAGCCTTACATAGATACACTTGAATCCACAGGTGCATTAGTAAATCCTGCACTATTCCCAGCTCTACTCATAACAAGTCGAATTTATTACCTTGGAGTTTGTTTGGTACAGTGTGTCAAATTCCCTTAGTTACAGGTTAAAGGAAAAGAGCTTGAATTTACCTAGGTCTGCAGATTCATTGTAGGGTTTAGTATGAGGCTACAACAGGAGCAGCAGCTTGGCAGCTGTCATGGAGAACTGTGACCAGTGGCAAGGCAGAGCTGTGTGCTCAACCTCCTCTCTGATGCTATGTTCTGTTTCTGTCTGCATCTTTGTGTAATTCTTTCACATTATCTTTTTCTGCCATCCATGGGAGGACAGGAGCAGTGCTGGTCACTCTCATACTTTAAAACACCCCATTGTGTTACCCCCTGAGGAACATCACTCTTCTTTGTAATTTTAGCTAGAAAAAGCTAGGGGCAGGGGAAGCCCATGATTGACTCAGGTTCTATAAAATGCTCTTATATATACATAGGTCAACTTTGGCCATCATGGTGAGTGTTATGATTGATCTAGCTTTGGATAAGTGCACTCTTGCCTGTGGCTATACTAAGTGATTTGTGAGAGATTAAGGACACACACACACACATTTTTTTCTTTTTCTTTTCTTTCTTTTTTTATTTCTTCTGATAGAATCTCTGTTGCCCTGGCTGTCCTGCATTTGTCTCCCAGGTGCTGATATTTGTAGTGAGATATTCACCTTGTCCGCACCTGTGGCTCTGACCACGCCCAGTGGGCGTGGAGACAGGGGCAAATATTACCTGGGGGAACGAGGTCTGAGGAGGGGCCCTGGGAGCGCTCTTTCTTGCAGCACAGGAACAGGAGAACATCCAGAAGCTTCTTTGGGACCAGGAACCTGCTGGTGTTCATCAGTCTGTGTTGTAAATTATTTCCCCCTGAATAAACATCTATTTGGCCTAAACCTCAATATGTGGTGTCAGAAGTGGGATTTCTTGCTTTGCTGAAGAGTCTGCCAGACACCCTATGGCTTATAGGCTGAAGGTGGAACATTACAGAACTTCCGGTGACTGACCAGGCGAATTGTCTGTCATTTCTAGAGTTTATATATTATCTTTCTGTGGTCTTTGAAGGAGTTGAAGACAGATAGTTATGGTTATAGTTTTTCGTAGTTAGGATTAAAGGTAAGTTACATATAGGACGTTAGACTCACAAAGATAGGATAGATGATACAATATTTTCTTTAAATCTTGCTAAATGTTACTGGACTAAATATTGGTAACTGTGGTTCTTATTTTGATAACTGTTTTGTTACATATTTTGCTATGTTAAAGTTAAAATCCTTTTTATTTTAGACAGAAGAGAGGAGATGATGGGAGATGTCATTCTCTTATGTTTCTCTTACTGGTTAATGAATAGAGCACTGTTGGCCAATAGGAAAGCAAGATAGTCTGGACGAGGAGACAAGGAGGTTTCAGGGAGAGGGAGGAGATTCAAAATGTAGGACCGAGAGAGCAGGGCTCTCTCTCTGGTAAGATGAGACCACATGGAAATACTTAGATTAATAGAAATGGGTTAATATTTAAGACAGAGCTAGCCGATAAGAAACTAGTAACTGGCCAACAGCATTATATCTAATACAGTGTCTCTGTGTGTTATCTGGGCTGGTGCGGTTGTGGGATCAGGTCAGGGGGAAACCTACTTATAACAAAATGGTGCCTCCAAAGTGGCTACTAAGAACTTTCACTTAAAACTTAACAAAAGCTTAAGAAAGGGCTTTAGAAAAAAAGAACAGAGACAAGCAAGGCTTCTTAGTAACAGCATTTTTCTCAGTTGGTCTCTTGTTTTGCTAGACAAGCAGAAATTTTCACAGCTTCTTTAAGGGAGGTTTCCTAACTCAGCATAAGCGGCAAAAACAAAACAAAACAAAACAAAACAAAACAAAACAAAACAAAACAAAACAAAACATGGCTTTTAAGAATCGCTGCTAACAATTCAATGGTGTGTATGAGCAGCTTCCAGTATTCGGGAGGAGAGGCAAACAGACCTTTGTAATTTTAAAGTAAACCTGGTGTACGAAATGAATTCCAGGGCAGCCAAAGTTATACAGAGAAACCCTGTCTCAAAAAAAAAAAAAAAAAAAAAAAAGACAAAATAAATAATAAAAAAAACCAAGTAAAGATGGAAAACACAAAAAGATTCGGATACTATGTTCTATGGTGTTGTCTTTAAATTGCTCAATTGCTATGGAAGTACACTTGATTATCAATGCTACAAAATCATTCCAGTTTATATATTTTAAAAATGCTTTGACTTCAAAATTTAAGTCTAAGGGAAAGTTACTGGGGAAAAAAATTCTATTTTTGTTTCCACATAAAATGAAAAGCTGTGGATTCCTTGCAGGCTAACATGGTTTGATCAAGTCAGACCCCCTGTCTCCACCCACAATGGGCATGGTCAGTGCCACAGGTGTGGAAAAGTGAATATCTCACTACAGATATTTAAAGACATGTACCATCACAACTGGCCAGAACCTTTATTTCAGTCATATTATTTGTAAGGATTGGGAGTGAAGTACAGTTGACATTTCCTAGTGGATGGGATACTCTTTTCAGGTGAAATGTACATTGAATAAATTTGTTGACTGCAGAATAACTCTTTACCCTGCTGACTCTTTACTGTCTTTGAGGACATTATTGCTCGATACAGCTGTGATGAACTGAACAGATCTAGACCCTGAGCTTCAGCAGATTTGTCCAGATTGGAATAAACTCATGGCTTTACTTCTCTCTAGTTGTGGTGATCGCTAGATATCTCAGCACATCCTCCAGGAAACAAATACTCTGGAGTTTTTTGGTTGAGGCCTGAAGCTATTATGTGACATAAGGCTTTGATTGTTCCCTGAAGAAGGACACTCTGGATTGGTGTTGAGGTGTTCTTGTATGAAGGCTTTAAACTATGAAAGGAGGACAGAGAAATAGGAG